TCTATATGATTTAAATATAAAGTTGCTGCTAGGCAACTTTATATTTAAATCATATAGAATGATTTAAAGGTATGTAAGGTATGTAAAGGCGGTATGACCCAGCCTAGCTCAAATTCATATCACTGTATAAATTGAATCCCTTTACGGTAACGCTATATATCGCGGTAGAAAATTATCATAAAAAGCAAAGTAATTTTTAGAGCATTTATTTTGCAGAAAATTAATCATAATCAAACCCAGTGTTTTTGCTGTAGTACAAATGAACATACAGTAACAGAAGTACAAAATAATGTTTTATTTATATTTTAAAACGGTTTCAACAAACAAAAACATTTCTCAAATTTTCAACAATATCAGAATAAAGTGGATGTTATAACCAGTTCAAGTAAAATTAGTCATTTAGACATAAAACATTCTAAGTTGGCATAAGTTGTCTAAAACGTTTTAGTGTGACAGGACCTGAATGGCCTAAAGCTGCGCATAGTCCTAGTCATAAAACAATTTCAGATAACTAGAATGTAAGTGTGGTGAAGCCAAATAAATATAACATCTGGTTGCCATACCTTGAGCTTCTTCCTGTTGAACTGACCCTCTACTCTGCTGCGCTATAAATAAATACATACATACATGCATACATACATACATACATGCAAGCAAGCAAGCAAGCAAGCAAACAAACAAACAAACAAACAAACAAACAAACAATTCATGGAGAATTTGAATAGTATAATTTTTTTTCTCCTTGTAGGAGCACCCATGACCTGGTGGCCATGGACGGCTGGTTGTATGCTGTAGGAGGGAACGATGGCAGCTCCAGTCTCAACTCGATTGAAAAATACAACCCACGCAGCAACAAATGGGTGGCCGCCTCCTGCATGTTTACACGGCGCAGCAGCGTGGGCGTGGCAGTGCTGGAGCTCCTGAACTTCCCACCCCCTTCTTCGCCCACCCTCTCAGTGTCTTCCACTAGTCTTTGACACGAGGTCACCGTTTGGCTGACTTCAGCCTCTGCTGCTACAGCCCAGACTGGCTCTGGGAAGAGGCGCAACAGCTCCGTTTGAGAGATGTGGAGGTGGGAGAAACGTGTTGAGCGTGGGCAGGTAAATCCATGGAGGAGAGGGAAACAAGGAGACGGACAGGATGAATGTGASTGAGGCCCCTGCCTGGTTACAGTATACTTCAGAGTGAGTGTCATTCTTGGTAAAAGGTTAGCCAGACGTAGTTTAAAACACCTTTTACAGATGTTACCTACAGCAGGCAAAATGATTCTCAAAAACCCCACACAAATTTAGGATCCACTGAAAAAGCGCCACAGAAATACTTTAAAAAAATTATGTTTTAAAGTAAAATTAAATGGTAAAAGGTATTTTCGTTCCCTCTCCCCACAAAAAGCTAAATGGTCGTAACAATGCTAGAATTTATTTTTTTTCTGGCTACTACTTTTATGTTCCTATTTTCTGACCTGCACTGTTTCTGGTCTGGATGCCCGAGGGTCCRCTGTATACCTCCAACACACAGCTACTAACTCCCACTTTCTTCAAAACATATTTCTGAAAATAGTCACTCGATCATTTGATTTGCCCACCGYGATAAGTGTTTGACACACATACCGTAAAGCGTGGCAGGCATCGAACCCTGTGAAGGTGTTGTAAATGTTTTTGGTTAGATGTTGTTGTTGTTCTGCAAGGCTTTACTTTTAACGTCAGAAGTTTTTGCAATAATGTATAAAATACTGAATGGTTTTATTTTTAGAATGTAGCTTTTTAGTGGTTGTACCATGCATGTTTCTGTATTGGCACCGATTCTCAAAAATATATTTAAAAAAAATGTTGTAGTTCTGCTACACTGCACTAGGTGGCAGCGACGAGCAATGTTGTGCACATGTCTCTCAGAAAAGCATGGACACCAACAACATAAACAAGCTAAACCATCAAAAACTGTAAATACGCTTAGGTCCTTTTTTATATAAAACTAAATATGATGAATCATCTGTATTTATAAAACATAATATATTCTGTTTTAAAGATGCTTAGAAAAAGAAACAGATCCCAAAATGCCTATTTATAAGAGTGTTTTTTTAATTATATTTATTTAGACATGTGGTGCGCATATCGTCATTGGAAATGACTAAGAATGTTTTGGCTTGAAGGATGTTTGTGTGCATATGAAGATTAGGGGGACTGCTTGCAGCGTTTTGTTTGACTTTATCAATGTTTCTTCACTGCCACAGGCATGAACACATGAACACGTCACTGTACCAACATTGTGGTCATTACATTTGTTGGATAAAAAACTGTAGTCACCGGCRAACTTGTTGACCATTTAAAGACGTCACATTGTCTTACATTGAAATTATCTTCAAAATATGAGAAAATACATGTTTCATGTGACACGATTGCTTCATATTACAAGAAAGTTCCCCTTCAGTAAACAAACTTGGTACTAATGAGTCATATCTTTGATCCTGGGTGCTGACATATTGCCCACCTTTGTCATCACATTAGTAAAACTGGTCAAACGATTTCCATCAAATTGATCTATTACACGTGTAATTAATAACTGTCATAAACACGCCAGAGTCTGTGACGGTTAGGAATGTCACCTGCGTCGTCTAAGATAAATCACCTTGAATAGTTGACCCAGTTTAAAGTCAGTATTGTTTGAGTTCAGTTCATGTGTAGTGCAGTGATACCATTACAAACTTCTAAGAAGTTGTCTTTTTTTCTTTTCCTTGATTTGAAGGATTTACGGTAGTTTATATTTATTTTAGGAAACAACCTTATGTTACGTGTGTGCAAGGAAGGATGTGGCRGAAATGGACCTCTGATGGCCTTAGAAAATGTCTGTCAAGATGAAGCGAGTCAGGGATAGATTTTTAGGGCAAAGGTGCACAAATTCAATGAAGATTTTGGTCTCTATTCTTTTGATTGAACTGTACATAGTATGCTCGGTTTATCTTAATTTTATTTGTGCAATTTTTGATGTGACTGTAGCKCTTTTTTTAGTTTGTGGTTGATGTTGTGATACATGTTTATTTATGTTTGTTATTTATGACAGCCTTTCAAATGTTAAAGTTTGCACTATTGCGAAATGAAGCAATATCATACACTTCAAAAAAAGAAATAAAGACGTTTTCAGTGACATTTGGTCGTGTTGTGCTTGGAAAAAATGTACAGATTGAAGACAAAAACTGTCTTCATTCTTTCATCTGTAAAGTCTACAGTAAACTGTATATGCAGTTCCCTTGAAAACTCTCTCTCACACACACACACACACACACTAAAAGTTGTGTTGCAAACTGAGGTTGTTGCTAGGCTCACTGTACACATTTATTTCGTACCTCTCCAGTGTTCTCCTGTTTCACAGTGATTTAAGCTGACAGCTGAACACTCTCACTTTACGCTTCTTGATCTCAGTCACATGGCATTTACACCTGTGGTGGGCCACACACACACACACACACACACACACACACACACTAAATTCTCAAACACGTAGGCTGAACATTCACTTTGGTAAAACTTTGATGGGATCAAATTAAATAAAAAGCCACAATTACATAAAAAGTTACTTTGTGAGAACATATTGATACCTAGTGGGTGCAGTGGTGGAGCCAGACATTTTTCTCAGGGGTGGCCAGACTGGGACCACTACTCACACAGGGGTGGCCAGGAATATTACATCATTTTTTACATGAAAGTTTCTGCAAATATTTGTGCTTTGGTCATTTCCTAATGTCCTAATACATGCAGTGACTGCCTTGTAAACATGGGTGCAGAACCATTTTAAAAGTGGGGGGACACACTGTTGGGGGTCTGGGGGTCCTCCTCCAGAAAATTTTGAATGAAATAGATGCCGTTTCCTGCATTCTGGTGTATTTTACCAAGTGTTTAAACATACTCTTGCCTACATAAATAAACACTTGATTTAATAATTATTTCAGAGACAAATTGTTCATTAAACTAGTTTCATTATCCTGCTACAGCTGAGATAAGGTTAATTAACGTGACACAATTTATCATATCCAATGACTTCAGGGGTGCTTTTTACTTTTATATTGTTTATTGATTTATTTTTAATTGTAACACGCCATTGTGCCAAATAATGATGACCCTCAGCTGCATGTTTAAAACTAATAATAATTTAACCCAATGAACAGGTGCAATACTGATAACCACCAACAGTGAATTTAGAGGGCTGTTTCACTTTTTCTGATTTAGTGATGGGTCTACTCATAATAAACACAGAGCATCATACAGCCTTCATAACATAAAATGACAAAAAAATAAAAATAAAATTGTTACCACAAGTCCAAAAGTTGACACCATAAGTCAGATTACATAGGCATATGTTCTGTGGCTGTGTCCAAAACGACAGGCCGGGTCCTCCGGAGGATCCAGACTACTCGGTCGAGGTGGGCCGGGTCCTTGGTAGACCGGGAAGCCCGGAAAAAAAGAGGCTGTGAATTTGGACGGTCTAGCCTCCCCTCCTTACCCCGGCATACGTCATGTCACCTAGCAACTGTGACGACGCTAAACAAGCAAACTTAAATCAAAATTAGAAATATATCAATATATTAGCATTATTAATATACAAAACTATAAAATTAACTTTAAGGTATCATTTGAAGAACTAACTGACCCGTTGTAGGTGCATGTTTATTTCGCATTTTTTATGACAAAAATAATATTTAAACGCATGTCTATACAAATGATAAAAGTATTAGAATTACAACCACTAAAAAATTGTAATTTTTATATCACCATATTTTTATTTAAAATGTATTCTTGTGTCTCGCTTCGTCCGCCATTACTAGCATAAAAAAATCTCTAGTTGGGCCGCAATGCATTATGGGATATGCTGGGCCGGGAAGGATCCAGACCAGTCCTTCAATCCGGGCCAAAGAAAGGACACATTTGTCGGCCGCATCAGAGGAGTCTTCGGTTTTGGATGGCCTTCGTCGCGGTGCTGTGACATATGCGGCCAACAAATTCGGCCTTCGGAGAACCCGGCCTGCCGTTTTGGACACAAGCCTGTATATAAAGAAAACCATCACTTCCTTATTATTACTCTTCTTCAGTGATAGAGCTTGGTAATGTTTCAAACTGTTAAACACTGCTACCCACTGTTTAGGAGGATTATTACACCTCTAAAGGCTGTTTCACTGTGGAAGTGGTGTGTACAGCAGGGTGGCCAACGGGGTGGCCAAAGATTTGTCTGTACTGGCCATGGCCACCCCTGGCTCCGCCCCTGTGTGGGTGATGAAATTCTTTCCCAAGGGGGTTTCCTGTTTTTCTACATTTGGCATAAGATTTTCTCAGGGATTGGTCACATTTTCATTTCAAAAATGTTTATTTTTTTAGCCTTTTTTTTTTTAGCTCTGATTGACACAATCCCAATAACTACTTTACATATTTTGTGACCAGGTCAAACTCTGGTCTACTGAGGCAACAGATAGTTAAAACTGGTCCCCCCCAATTATTTTTCTACTTTTGTTATTTCCTCATAGCTCAAACTGAAACTTCCACAGCCTGTGGCTTTTTCCTATTCTGTGTTTTGAGTTTTTAATTTCCTTGTTATGTTAGCAGAGGTGTATAGTAACTAAGTACATTGACTATGTTACAGTGCAGAGGATTTGTAATTTTTCCAAATATGTTTTTAATTTAACTTTCACTTTTATTTTGTTGCATTCTTACATGTTACAAGTTGTGTCAACCGGTTCCACTAAACCAAGATGAGTAAACGTAAAGTAATTTACTCTACTTTGTTCAGTGGAACCAATTTTGTTAAGTAAATTTAACACTTTTTTTCTTAAGTATGTTTGTGAAAGTACATATAATTTCCCAATTATTGTGTTTGACTTTTACTTAAGTACTTATCAGTGAAATAGATTTTTACCAAAGTAATTTTCTGTGAAGGTATTTTTACTTTAGTTATTTCTTTCATGTACTTTATACTCGTCTGGTAGTCAGCTGCAGTATTGTTTCCTTGTAATTCTTGTTTTTCCAAAGCTCCTGTGTGTTTTTAGTTGGTGGTAAATTTGTTCCTCATACATTGTTTCARTTGCACCTTGCCTTTCACATCTATTTGCCATCTTTTTCCTCAAACAAAACTGAAATATCTTAACGTAAGTGTGCTACAAGGTGTCCCACAGAGAATGAATTAATGACATTGTTATATAAACTTTTGCTTTTCAATTCATTCTGTATGAGAGATGCTGATAAGCACTTAGATAATAACTGACAGTTTATTCTAATATATACTGCTCCAAAATTTAAATCACCCAATACATTGTAAATTTAATCACTAAACCATGGAAAAATGGTCTTTAATGAAAATGAAACCAAAGCTATTTTTATACCTGAGTTCTAAAAATACCACAAGCACATTTGATAGTTTCTGGTTTTTAATCTAATGATGTAACTAAGCTATCACAGCAGATRTGAACACAGGTTTTTTGTTTACTGTTCATTGACTTCCATTCATTTCCAGTCATTTCTATGACCTAATCCAGGCTTCCTTACCCTGAACCTAACCCAAACTCAATGCACACTTTAAACCTCATCCCTAACTCAAACATGGAGTTCCACCATATTAGAAATGGTCTTGAGAAGGTGTGTAGATCAGAACCAGTCTTTAAAAGGTAATAAATACGTAAGTAAACAAACGTAAATATATTGATCAGAGTTGTGCTTTTTTGAAATGAGTAATTTAATGTCAGTCTCACCAGGAAATTATTGTAACTGTGGTTACTGATACAATCWATTTTTAATAAAACACTCATCTGGAGATGATTTCCATAAAAGGCATAAAACAAGTCTGTCTTTTCACAAAACACACAACATTTCTCTTTTCCTACCTCAATGTGAAACTAACAGCAAATGTAAAATGAATAGCAGCATGAATAAAATATTTGTATAAATACACAGACAAGATTTTTTAAAACAAATTAACAAGTAACAAGGCAAAACAAAAACTTAAACTCCTTCACAAACAACAGCTCTTATGGATACACATTATATAATTTCATATTTCTTTAACAAACTAACTTTTATCATTATTTTTAAAATCATTTTCCAGATTATTCCGCAATCTTATTCCTTGGACCGAACACATCGGCTCTTGAAATTTGTTCAAATTTTAGATTTTACAAACATCCCTATAATAACTTTCCCTCTTAACAAAATTTGATTGGATGTTTAAAAGTAATAATTTTTTATGAGCTCTATATAACCTGCAAAATATTATCAATCTCACAAAATTTCAATAACTTCAGTTGATAAAATAATGTATTCGATGGGGGACTGTAATGTTTTCTTGTGATAATTCTTACAGCTGTTTTCTGTAAAATAAAAATAGGATTTGTAATTGTTTTATATGCTTTTCCCCCAGACTTCAATACAATAGATCAAGTGTGGAACTATTATTGCATTAAATAAAATATTTCATTAATAAGGGAAAATTCATGGTAATTCATATGAGAAAGAGAAATCATTAGTTATGGCTCAATCTATTGTATTTTTTAATGTAACTGTAACAGTCTACACCTTTTCTCTTTAAGAGATACTGTAACTTGTGAAATAGATGACACCTTGGGAAAGATAAAGTTAGCAAAGACTGGAAACAGTCAACTGAAACTGGTTTGACATCATCATTCTCTGTGTTTCTTTTATATGATAAGCTGACAGAGTGGTGAGTCACTTGGTTCGCAGCGAGCTACAGACATTTTTTTTTGTTGTTGTTCACCTGCAATGGAAATATGCTTTAATCAGTATTTCTRCTGAATTTTATCAGTTCCTGAAATTCGCTCGTTGTAGGTACTCCTCCTAAGGACTTGATCAAACCAACAAAATACTTTTAAACTGAAATCTGCAGACCTTGAAAAATTGCCAGGGGCTTATTATGTAAAAACGTTTTCAAGAAGATATTTTTATGTTTAACCATAAAGCTGGTAGCAACATGTTGTTTTTAACAAGAAGCACTTTTTTATTTTTGTAGTTTACTTTGCATGTTTGAAGTTGCTTGCATAAAATGTATAAACATCATGAGTGCTTTTAAAAATGACAGCATTTTAATTTATAAATTCATAAATTCCTTCAAAATACAACAAAGAATAGATGCTATTATTAGTTTGCTTTTTCTTTTTCTTTTGCTTCGGGATGTGACAACAAATTCCACAGAAGTCATGTTTGGGATGTTTCCTGATGTTTTAAGTTTGCTTCCCTGTTGTCTGTTTAAATTCTCTCTGTGTTTTAATACATTTCAAGTTTGTTGTTTCAGGCAAATTTGAACCTACAACTTATGTTATCATGATATTTATGATTTGATGAAGTGGAAAATGTTATTAGGCATCTTCAAAATACAATTTTTTTGTCCTTTTATCCATCCATTGATTTGAACATTACTGAAAGGCCTCCGCCGTTAACAAGCTGGTGACTGTTGGTGCCTCGGGTGGATCAATTTCAGCGCACAACTGGTTGAACAGGTTGCATTTAACTGACAAACCACAGCTTACATTTCATGCTGCAACAAGATGCAGCACCAGCAGCAGCTCACCACAAGCAGTGACCTCATTAATGAGCAAACCATACATGACAGTGAGGAGGGTTYGTCTTAATGCTCCAACTTGATCAATTTCCTTTTAAGGCAATCGATTCTGGAAAATGACACACTTTCCAGTGTGATTTGTTTACGATATAAACTAATGCAACAATTATTAGGAAAGAAAATGTGTCAAAATGTAAATAAATATCACATATTGCAATTTATGAAAGTGCATTTCACTTTAAAACATAACTTAAAGAGAGTTAAAAGAACAACAATCAGATTTTGAAAATATATTAATATGTGCTTGCAATTTGTCTGAATCATGAAACCTTTGGTTGTGAATATTTTGTTTAGAATCAGCTCCCATGCACACAAACTACAGTATCTGATGAGTCCAAACTCTTCCAATGACTTCTTCACAATCTTTTGAATAGTTTGAAATCAAATACTTCATTAGAT